AGTAGTAGCTATATCAGTGAGAACATTTCAGGTAATAAATTGCATAGTTATTTTTTTAACTATTTTTCATGTGTTAAAAGGTTCAAAGGATAGTATGATTTTGACTGCATTTTTAAATGATACTCCACCCAAATATGAAAATTCTATCACCCTCATGTCAAACTATATGCATTATTTCTTCTGTGGAGCTTAAAAGAAGACAGTTTGAAAATTTTTTATGTTTTTGTCAGTCACTTCATGGGGTTCTATGCTGTTTCTCAACATTATTCAAAATACCTTCTCTTATTGCTCTGCAGGAGAAAGAAATGCAAACAGACTTGAATAAATAATTAAATAAAATATATGTGCTATACAAAAATGCAGTTACATTTCGTCCCCAAATTGTGCATCCCTATTTGGAACCAAATGAGGGTGAGTAAATGATGACAGATTTATTTATTTTTTGTGAACTATTTAATGTTGGTGTTGGCAGTATACCTGGTTTAGTAGTTGAATGAGATTTCAGATCTGTAAAGGAGTCAGATTAGATGCATATTAAACAGAGATGAAGGAAACTGAATTATTCTGTCTCATTTCTGAGCAGTTTTAAAGACAAAGAGAAAAAGACGAACGCACCACCGTGACAGATAAAGGGCTGAGTGGTGTTGCATTGAACGTCATTCCATTTCCCTGTGTGGTTCACCATCACTGTAACACAGTCACGGTCTCTTCTGTTGTTACTTAACTGACTTGAATTCCAGAAACGGAAAGAAGAGTTACTCTGATCCGACCACGACCAAGGGTCGTTAAATAGTCCAATCCATACATCGTTTTTTGCAGTGTTCTTGACAACTTGATTTTCTGAGGAGGTTCTGACATTCACTAGATCTGTGTGAAAAGTTCTGCAAAATTCTTGGGCCTCCCTCCAGGATTTGCTCTGCTCAATCAGGATATACGTTTTAGTGGCTGTAACAGACAAATGACAAGAAAAAGATTCTTATTGCTGCTAATGTGTTTATGAAAATACGTTTATGAAACTGGAGCACTATTGTAACTTATATAAAATGAAGGTAATGCTGTAAACTATGTATAGTCACAATACAATGAACAGACAATAGTCCAATAAAAAAATCTTACCATTAAAGCAGACAAATTGCCTTTGTGTATCACAGCTATCACTAAACCATTTCCCATTGTTGTCCATTGCAGCACAGCCCTCATTAATATTTTTATCTGGTTGATTTTTTCCCCAGTTTTGGAATGTCTTTTCATTGTACACACTGTCTGGCAGGGTCCAGTGCCATCTAAACACTTCACCTCTATAAAGTCCAGTATACACATCATATGAATGATCAGTTATGGTTTTGAACAAGCTGTTCTTCTCATCGTCATTATTCACAGTCGCCAGGTCAGTGTACATCTCACGGCAGAATCTCTGAGCCTCAGTCCAGTTCTTTCTGATAT